AAGGAGTTGATTTCCATTTTGCTGACGTTTCATTCATCATTGGTCGGATATTCTATTAACATATTGACTTCTGGACGCAACCAAGATGCAGGTGTGGAGGCAGAAACTCAACAGCCCATGGTCCACTGCTCACCGTGTCCCTTGTGGGCTAATCACCAGCCGAGTTCATCAGTAATTAAAGAGAGATGAAGACTTGAAGACAATCAGATCAGTTGGTCTTGAGCCCAGATGTAGGCGGGATAATTAAAGCAGGCCCAGATGAAGGGAGGAGAGGTCAGAGGTCAAGTTTTTAGGCTTTTGCCTGGCGTCCACAGTGGCGGCTGAGAGATGTTTGGTGGATGAGCCAATGGACTTTGTGCTGGAGAAGCAGAGCTGAGGCAGAAGGATCCACGTCTGCCAACCTGTGGGACACGATGGGCTTCCAGCTGCCCAGGAGGAATTGTGAGCAGCATGGAGACGCTCCGTGCAATTGTTATGGAGAGACATCAAAGCGTTGTGTTGTGATTTTCATTGGCCACGCATGGAGGAGATGGCCCAGCTCTGAGCGGTGAATAAATGCAAACCCAGAGGAACCCAGAGACTCATGAAACTCCTGAACACCTGGCCAGGGCTCCAGCTTCCCCTTCAGCAGCTACAACGTGGTTTGGGCATGACAGGCGCCCGAGAAGGGGCTGGAGTGGGTCGCGGGTATTGCCAACGATGGTAGGAACCCAGAGACTCATGAAACTCCTGAACACCTGGCCAGGGCTCCAGCTTCCCCTTCAGCAGCTACAACGTGGTTTGGGCATGACAGGCGCCCGAGAAAGCCTCAGGGATGACGACACGGCCACCTACTACTGCGCCAATCGTGCTCATGCTGGTGGTGGCACCGACCCCGGCACCGTCCCCCACATCCCAGCACCTTCCCGGATCCCTTTGCACGGAGCCAGGACACTTTGGGTCAACCCAGAACCTCCCTGTGCTCTTCCCCCATTGCCCAGCAGCTTCCCAGAGCCCCTGCCCCCAGCCCAGACCCCCGCCCCTTGGGTCCCCTTGCTGCCCCTGCTCTGGACATGGCCCCCCCCCAGCCAAAACTCTTCTGTACCTCAGGGACCAGAGGTGGACCCA